ATATCTGCACCGAAAAGATTGTATTCTCGAAGAAGACTGTGTATGCTATAAAATTCTTCTTAACAGATATTCATCAATGTTTCCTAGAATATCCTCTAAAATTAAGAATTTTTTTATTAATAACAGCCATATGTTTGGTTTTATACTTGTTAATTTTATGTTATATAGTCATATTGTTGCAGCCACAGTAATGTTTGCTGTTATCTAAATAAAATTAGAAACGATCCTCTAGATGAAATTTTTGCGTCATCTTATCTTTCTATAGATAATAAAAATATGTACTATCTATTTTTCATCTCAGATGAAAAAAGTGTTATCTTTACCAAATTATCTAGAATAATATTCAGATAATTTGATTTAAAGCCACAGCACATAAAAATACTTAAGCAATAAACAATAAAAAAAATTGTAAATAAAAGTATAAATATATTTTTATATCTCTTTTATTATTTACATTTATTTATAACTGTGTTTGCATAAGCGGTCATAAAAATAATATTATCTGAAAATTATCTAGATGAATCTTCATATATAATTTTGTATTACACGTGCAGGCAAAGTGGCACTTTGTGTGCGTGTTTTCTGTGCGTAAAGCGGCCGATTTCCCACGTCGCCATTTAGCGGCGACGCGGTGAGTGAATAAGCCGCATTCAAAGCCATTGCCTACGGCTGAGCCGCGTTTAAAGTCATTGTCCACGGTTGAAACCGTGGACAATGACTTTAAACGCGGCTATTCTCGCACCGTGCCGTCGCAAGATGGCGGCGTGCGATCGGCCACCTCGCGCACAGAAAACGCGCACAAAGCCACTTTGCCTGCACTTGTAATACAAAATATCGTGTGCATTAAGTGCGGATTGACAATTGTTCACTCGTGTTGGATGGTCGCACTTGCCTTCGGCTCGTGCGTCCATCCCCCGCACTCGTGACCAATTGTCAACTTTCCGCACTTGATACACAATATACTATTATGTTTTATCTAGATACATTTAAAAAAATTATTTTCATCTTATCTAAGATGAATTTATATATTTTCATCTCATTTTTATCTAGCTAATTTTAAAATAATTTAAGCACAACACTGGACTTGCAGCAACATATATGATTATAATGTTGCAAATTACAGTGCAATGTTTATCCGAATAGTTTTAGTTAATTAGAAGAATAGATGAAATTAATAAGACACTCGATTTTAAGAGAAGTGTTTAAGAATTTAATCGTTCAGGTCTCATGCTTGATCTATATACATATATATATACACATACTATAATTATATGTATACTTTCTTCATGATCATTTTTACCTGTGCGTTATATAAGATAATATATTTTGTTAATGTAAAAATAAATCTCATTTTGTCTACATTTTTTTATAAATTAGGAATATCTGCTACTAATAAATTTAGAAAATTCCCATCCCTCAAGGTAAAAGAATTCTCGGTGTCTATCTTACTTAGAATTTTTAGGGGATTCTAGAAATAAGAGAAAAATTATTAAAATAAAGATACAACACAATTTTATTGAGAAATAATCAATCGAGGAGGCTCTGATAGATATCTGCAACTGAAAAAGTGAAATTTTGAAAGATTTTAAGCGCATGCACGGGCAATGTCATCCTCAATGGGACTGAATTACAACTATCATACACCACATATCTTCCCTTCCATCTCCTCTCTCGCGGATATTAAAGATGAAATATCGTTGTACATTTCAATCTACGTCATTGACCGAAATTACCTTTGTATACCTCTGACACACGGTGTGATAAATCTCCGTGAAAAAAAAAAAATACTTACCCAACGAGAATGCTGGAGGACGGACTCTGCTCGTTTGCGGACTTGAGCTGACAATACCCAACGTTGAGGTGTCCCTCGTAAAATTCGAATTTGTCCGCTGGTCGTTAGGTCGGGAGGAATCCAAAACCATCTTTCGCTCCCTTCCTTCTCTCTCTCTCTTTTGCTCGGAGCTCTCTCTCTCTCTCTCTCACCGCGTCGCGTACGGAATATAATCTACCGCGGCCGTAGAACAATCTATCACTCTCGTACAACGAAAGTTTGACGCAGTGTCAAAACGCGGGGCCCGTTAATTTTTCATGTCGTTTCACCCGGAACTCGTGCTATATAACTGCGCCTCCTCTCTCTCTCTAACCCCTCCCTCCTATCCCAACCTTGTTCTCTCCTCTCCTCTCCCTCGGTCGTATACGTACACACAACACAGGGTCGACCTGATCCGGCGCGGCGCGGCGTCTCGTCGACGCTGGTCCAGCAAGTTGTCTCTCGACGTTGCCATTCATTATTCACCACCTACACCGATACGCTACCTTTCGACAACGCGGGACGTACTTGCGTGGCGATGCGCCAAACAGAGGGAAAAAAGAAGAGAGAGAGAGAACGTACGTTGTCACATATCTATTTTACAGATTGTGTCCAGATGAGTGCAGCTCGCTTCATATATTATCGCGTGGATGAAAAAATCATATTTTCGCGGAATATATCATCTCGCGGTGAAACGCAAACTGTTTTTATTTGAAATATTGCAAATTATATGACCGATATATGTATTAAAAAAAGATCCTGTTAACGAAAAGAATTTATTACGATATTAAAAGTGTATGTGTGTTATACATTGTTGCGCGTAAAATATTGGTTTAATTTATAAAATGAGACACCAAAATACACAATTTAAAATTTGGATTTTTTCTCGAAAAATTGACTGCTTTGAAGTTGAAATAAATTGTGAAAAGTTAATTAAATATTTACATGCCATATTTCAATACTATATAAACATTTTATTATATTATTATACTATATTATATTTATTTATATTTATATTCTCTCCCTCCTTTTTCTTTTTTCGTTTTATTTATTACTGAAAAATCTTCGTGAAACTAATCAACGCCTTTTTATCTGGAAACTTAAATAAATAATATTATTCTGAAACTCTATGTAAAAATAATATTGCACATTAAAATATTTTAATTATTAAAGTTAATTATATTTTTTATAACAAAAATATCAAAATCACATTTATTAAATAATGTACGTGTATTACATCACGCGTAAAGCTACTTATTATCTTTCTTTTTTCTCCCCTCTTTCTCTTGCGACGTCTATTTACGAGGCCAACTTTGCTTTAGCACACAGCCTCCGTCAATGTTTCAACTTTATCGCGACCAAAGTATGATTTTACGAGAAGCCGCCGGGCTAAATATGCCCGTGTCGTAAAATTAACGGCGTTTCCATAAAGGAATCCAGGGGTGCTTGCGTTAAAACTCGATAAAAGCCAATAAAGCATCGCGCAGTTTAGTCGAGTTTATCGTCGTCCGTTCCTCCTCTTGGAGGTCCTCGCAAGGTGTTGGCCTTCGAGTGTTCGCGATTCTATTCTCATCTGCGACGTCTTATTTGCGTTGGAAAATCCTCATTTTATTGTATAAAAAATAATAAAAAATCTCAGCATCTCCGTGCAAGAAATATATACGCATTATTAAAACTATTTAATTATTATTTTATTATACATATATAAATATAAATTATTATTATTATTATTAACCGTGAGAACATTGAAATGCACTGATTTATGTATTATAATATTTTACTTATAGTCTCTTTCTCTCTCGTGAATATTGATGATAAATTTCTCTTTCTCTAACAATTTTCCTCCTCTTTTTACAATTTACACAATAACGATAAATTGCCGTGAAAATTGATAAAATCGAAATCAAATCCAGTAGTTGTAGTATGTATTCGTGATGGGCGATATTCCAGTGTTTCTCGAACATTAAGAGCTCTCGCAGCTAAGGGGCAAACGAAGATCGTCAGTTCGTCGTTATTACATCGTGGAAACCTATAACACTAAAAATGACCGTATAACATTCGTGAGCGTTTGTGAAATAAACTCGCTAGTTATTGCTCTTCTCTCTCTCTTTCTCGAGATATATACGTCATCCTTAACATGATCATTTCAGTGCTCTGGACCATAGTAGTAACAGGCTTGGTTTATCTGCGACGGAAATCTGCTTACGAAGTTTACCTACTCTACAACGTTGCCTCTTGCGAACCGACATTTTTTTTATCCATCGATATCTTTATAGCAAAGTAAAACGAGTTTTTATATCATGCGATTTAATTGTTATTCAGAACATTTAAGACAGATTCTAAAGCCTAAATTTTTCATTATCGAGATAATTCGTGCTATTAAAGGAAGTAATTGTTTATTTGCTGAAAAAAATTACACGCATGTTTCTTTTTCTATATTATATTAAATTGAAGAAAATAGTGTGAGAAAAATAACTCATTTCTTTTGTTCGCAACTTAACGTCATTCACGCATTCCCGAAAACACCTTGGCAAATTCCTCTATTATTTGTACCGACTTCTCTTCGCTCCTAGTCTACCCAGTGATTTTTCAAAGACACCGGATCACCGACCGATGGCCGGTAGAAAGCAAAGGGACACTGGTGCCCGCATAACTCTGACGGACCTAGTCGGGGGGAATGCCTCCCTCAGCACAACCCTTTGAAGGTTTATGCCGATTCAGAAACAAGTTGATTCATGAAGACGGCGTGGACCTCCTCAGGATCCACTGGATGCAAGTCCAGGACGTAGCGGGTGGTCCCGCAAGTTGATTTCTTGTTTCCTCTGCCGCAAACGCCGGAGAAAGGCGCAGAAAGAAAGGAAGGAAGGAAGGAAGGAAGGTAGAGGAGACGGCATTCTCTCTCTCCCCCTCGCTGTCTCCGCATAGCTATAGCGATTGTCGATTTAAATGTTTACTAATAACCAGGCTTGTCCAGCAACCACCCAGAAGTCCGGTCGTTTTGCATTTTTATAAGTACATCCCGGCCTGGTTCCGAGAATGAGAAACGTTTCATATTCATTCGCTGGATCTCCGAAGGGACGACGATCCCCTACGTCGATTAGAGCTTCCGTGCCACGTGCGCGTATTATTGTCTTCGCTGAATCGCCCACGATTATTAAGAATGGGATCAGTATGCACTTAAAAATCCGAATCCAATGATCAAGTTTTATTTTCTAATCCAAAGGATTCGAATAATACACGCTTAAAAAATTATATTTCATATTCAGTGTGCTCCTAAATTAAGTACCTGCAAGATTAAAAATAATATTTACACTCCTCATTCAATCCATTCAACCTACTCTCACTTTCTCTTGACAATAAGTACTTAACAGATTCGAACATATTTGATTCAGGTCCGAATACTTGGAGATACTCATAGAAAGTTCGAATCTATCTCCTCCGGGTTCAAGGCTACTTGAAAGTATTTTTCAAACAATCATAGAGAGAGAGAGAGAGAGAGAGAGAGAGAGAGAGAGAGAGAGAGAGAGAGTTTGAAACTAAACTCAAATTTACTTATAAGATACTTATTATCGCTAATGATCGTGATATATCTCTGAAAAAAGTAGCGATTCTTGGTGAAAAAAGGAAAAAGAATGAAATTGCGATGGTGAGAAGCAGCTGGGTGAAAAATGATAACTCATTTGTTTTCCGTAATGATTCGTTTATTGCGAAAGGAGACACAGGATGCCAATACGGCATCAGCAAGTTCGCGCGAAATTTTGGACACGAATGACTAAAAGGTAATGGCGATCGTTCACTCTCGACGTGACATGACATGATATGTTGCAAGCCGTCCGTTGGTGTCCTTCGTACACACAATTTGTGTAGAGAATGTGTTTTTTTTTCCTCTTTACAAGTTCCTATACGCAACAACGGTGATAGCAAGACGACGCGACGGAATTATTATATGTTTGCGGTATAGATTGCGAAGCGCGTCGGTTCCAATTCGCGATTAAATTATTACGAGCCAATCTTTACAGCGCAATAAATAAGAGAGGATACACTTATACGAAGAAGAGAATATTCGAGAATCAACCGTTTACGAGAACCTACGCGCCTCCCTCGCAATCTGTCGTCGCGATTAACGAAAATCCATACCTCGTCATGCTCGCGACGATCTGAATCGACGATGTGAATCGATAATATTATAAACATTGCAATAACAATAATAATAATAATCATAAGAATCATAATAATCATAATAATCATAATAATCGTCATTAATATGAATTATGATCTCAGGTATGCTAGTAATATTATATCTACTCTACATACAATACATACACTGGCCGGACGATTTCTCTTCTACTGGGCCTCTTCCTACTATTTACAAACGCATAAATAATATTAATTATTAATTATTATTTAATTATTAAAGATATACGATAATAATACAAATCTTATTATCCTATATCTTTATATATTTATAGCATTTTTTTATATGTATAATAGTACTGTCACAAGTTTGACGTTAACTGTGGTTATACCGCGGTTAGAGCCACTATGGGTAGTTGGTATACTACGAGTTTTCATTTTTATTCGGAGCAATTAGGTATAGAAAATAAACTTTCAATATCGGTCTCGAGGGCCTGGAAGAGGGGAAAATGATTTAAAAAATGAATATTTGCAACGATATCGAAAATGAAAAAGAAAACAAAGACTAGGAACGAGAAGCGGATTGAGGGGCAGTATATCTCATCATCACCTTTTTTTGTTTTACTGTACACTAATTACAAGATTGTAGTCTCTGATTATTGTCAGCCACACCACACGAAACGCCGCCCGTCGATGCACAGCGCGTGCGCGCATGCGCGCGCGATAAACGTCTCTTTTTTTCAACGATCGGTCGCGTCTTTCAGTCACACTCGTCCAGGAGATTTGAGTTCCTGAGTCGCCGGAAGACCGCCGGCCGCCGGATGGGGCGATTGATCGGATCCGCCCGATGACGTCGTCGATGACGACGACGGTGACAGTCCGGAGGACGCGGTTGTTAATAAAACGGCCGCTCCACCTGCGGCGGCGCCACCGCCGCCTCCCGCACTGGTGGCCCCGTTGATCGAGAAAGGCTTCACGGTCCCAGCAGCGGAGATGGACGAGGACGAGGACGTCAGTATGCTAGGTGCCGTGGACGGCGGTGGTATCACTCCACCCAGTCCACCCAGGGTTCTCGAGTACGTCTCGAGTAGGGATATGTCGCCGGAGCCGAGATGAGAGGCGCCGTACAGATTCCTGTAAAAGTCCGGATGCGGTCTTACGAATTGCGTGCCCGGATGTATCGCCGGGTGCAGGGGATGATGAGGCGGAAGTCGACTGGCTAGAGGACTGACGAGTTTGCCCCCTCCGCCGCCGCCGCCTCCACCGGCGCCACCTCCGCCTCCGGTTCCGCCGTAGGGTGACGCGAGACCTGTCATGGTGACCGGATTCGAGTTCTGCTGATCACCGTCCTTGCTCGCCATGTCCGCCAGCGACCAAATCCGCGGCTTCGTGGTCACCGCGCTGGCCGTGGACGACGCGCTGGTGCTCGGCGGAAGATGATGGTGCTGGCTACCTGGAGACGTGCTTTCTGGCGACGGATGACGTAACAGTCGGCCATGACTCGGCGCGAGATACGCGGGATGCTGCAGTTGCAGCGGATGCCTCGGCTCCCTTTGATCGTACAGGCACTCCGGACTGTCCGGGCCGCTATCAGCTCGCGACTCGCTCCACTCGCTCTCGGCTCTACCCTGAACGCCGGCCGAGCCGCCGCCGCCGCCGTGCAAAAGGTCCATACGATGCGCCGGTCGTTCCCCATCCTCGCTGGAACCTGTACCCGAGTCTTTCGAATCTGGACCGAGAAGAAGATGATCGAACTTCGTGATTCGGAACAATTTATGCGACTCTTGGAATCTTTAGTCTAATTTAAACTTGTCCAAAATTTTTAAGCAAATAATTTTTAAACGAAAATCTTCGAAAATATAATAATTCACGCAATGTAGATATGACTGATTAGCAATCATAATGAGGAAAAAAGCGGATTATTCAAGAATAAGCAAGACTCACCTAACCGATCTTTCTCGTCGACGCTCTTTCTCCCGCTATCATCGTCCTCGTTATTGTTATCTTCGTCCTCGACACGGTTTCTTGGTTCCCACGTCATTTTATTTTCCTTTTTCAAGCGCCTTCGCGCATTCGCGAACCACGTTGACACTTGTGTCAGTGTCATTTTCGTAATAATAGCCAGCATGATCTTTTCGCCTTTCGTAGGATACGGATTCTTCTTGTGCTCGTTTAACCACGCCTTCAACGTACTCGTCGTTTCTCGTGTCGCGTTTTTTCGCCTCGCACCGTTCAGATCCATGCCATAACTACAACAGATCCAAGTAAGAAATATTATATGCAAAATAATCCTCGATACAAGGACAAAACATCCTTATTCCCTGTGTAGAAGATGAAAATATTTTCGTATATGCCATATTAGGGTGAAAGAAATGCAAACTAAAAAATAGATATAAAAGTATACCAAATTCGAAAAATTTTGTGGTACAAAACCAATCGTCATGAAACTTGACACATACATAGTATGAGGTAAAATATGACGAAATCTAATCAAAATCGGAAGGCTAAATGAGTGATCAAAAGTCAGAAAATAGATCATTGAATCGTACAGCGACAATGCTCATTTGTCATATAATCTTATTTTGACAATAGAATAATGGTCGTGAATAACCCCAAATAATCATTGGCAATTAGCAGACTGAATGTGTGCGAGTGCGGTAATCTTTGGTTATCACCATCGATACATCACACTGTTTCCCATTATCAGTCTTTGTTGCACCAAAAAGTTTTTTTAGAGTCATTCAATTTTAGTTAGATTTCTTCATATTTTAGCTCATATTATGTGTCAAGTTTCCTGACGATTGGTTTTGTATCACAAAATTTTCCCAATTTGGTATACTCTTTTGCGAGTAAAAAATCTCATTCTTTTAAATAACAATAATTGATGTCTAGCAGTCGAAACAGATGCAGGCCATAGCTATGATCCATCGTTTATTATTCCATAACTGGTCTGGTAAGATCGGGAACGGTGCCCCCCTGACAGGGACCAGTCGAGCGAGGATTAAATTCTACGCGAGGATGCGTCTTCATCGCCCAAAGAATATGCGTGACCCATATAAGCGCGAATGTACTTTAGACCAGAGCGAAAATAAACAAGACATCTTCAAAAAAAAAAAGAAATTAGAAGAGAGGCGGTTGTTGCTGCTGCTAGCAGAGCTTTGCGTCGGAAAACTTATCCCATCGTGAGGCTCGTTATGTCTTCCCCAGCGTCGAATATAAAAGTCCGAGTCCTGCTCGGTTTGAGAAGCGATATAAACGGGTAGGTAGCTACTACTTCCATCCCAAGAGTAGATCTCTATCTAACGGTTTAAGCTCCTACCTCCCATCTCTTGGCCAGAGGAATGAAGCGGAAGGAGAGGATGGGAAAGGAGAAGAGGAGGCAGGCGACCTCCTCTCTTTGCCTTCCGCCTCGCTCCGTCGGACCGGAGCGACCGACCCTCTGGGATCCCATTACTAAAAGACTAACCCTTATCAAAGATTAAACTTCGGTATAACTGCTGAATCGACGGGATCGAAATTAAATTTTCCACCACCGAGAGAGGCAACCGGGTAGGATACCTCTCTTCTCTTCTTTCCATTCTCCCTGTCTCTCCTCTCTTCAAGTTATTTCTTTTTTTTTATTCGTCTCTCTCGTTTCTTCTCTTCGCGTGTACAATCCGGGCGAGATGTCGCGACTCGATCCGAAGCTCCTGGATATCCAGAGAGGATTTATCGGCGAAATCGCCGATTTAATCGAAACAGTTTTCTTAATGGCATGCATCAACCATGATTGCAAATGTCGCTCAATCTCTATCGCAAGACGTAAATGAAATCGATGGGGTCAAGGTAATTCTTCTCATTACATAGGAATTATAATACATCCCAAAATATACAACACAGTTGTAAAGAGGCCACAAAAATCTTTGTAAAAATAGAACGAATATCGGTTGATTCGAATCTCCAATCGACGCCTAACCTTCACCCCGCCTTCTGGGTCCCGTCACGACGCGCCATTATTGAGCTTTATATTTTCGCCCTCGCACCTCGAACCTTATCCGACTCCGAGGAGGATGAAGGCGAAGGGAAGGACGTGTATGGACGCGCGACTGACGTCCCTGATGTTGCATGGCGTCGGGTGGGTAGGTAGGTAGATAGGTAGATACGGTATAGAGGTTAGACAGGGACAGGGATAGAGAGATAGAGGTTAGATAGAGAATGGAAGCGTGGCGGCGGGAGAGATGGGAAATTAATAAAACTGTCACTTATCTGCCCTTCTCCCCGAGGCAGGCCTACACGCGGCATTTCTCGCTCCTCTATCTTCGTTCTCACCCTCCGCCGTCGGCAAGCGTCCCCGGACGTCACCACCCTTCTCTACCTATCTTTCTCTTTCTCCCCCTCGCTATCTATCCGTCCCGCTTTTTCCGCTACCATTTGTCTCGCTCTGATTCCGCACGCGGGATTTGAAACAGCTGAAACATTTGAAGCGCTAAACATTTCAATTTGGCATCAGGCACTTCCGCGTCACGCGCGCGCGCGCGTTGATAACACATCTCTCCGTTGCCTCTTCGTCCTCCGACCTAATCTCTCCTCTGTTCTTGTGCGCTGTCCTCGTCCTATTTGTCGCAGACGCCGAGAGAAAGAGAGAGAGAGAGAGAGAACAAGTGGTAGCAGTGAAGAGGTTCAGACGAGAGAGCAGAACGAGCCGAAGGGAGGAGAAGAGAGGGTCGTGCGAGATGGACCGACATCGATGGAAAGCAGGGACAGGAAAAGCGAGAAAGAAGAAGACAGAAAAGAGCCAAGAGCGCCGGAGGAGGAAGAGGAGGCCGGCGGGGACGGCTTAACCCCCCCGGTCTGTTTGCGAGGAGCAAATGGCGTTCTGCAGTTATTTTAAAATTCAGCCAGTGGCAGGGGGCGCGGATCGGATTAAAAAATCAGAGTGGAAGCTTGTTTCTCATGATAACAGCCAGCCGCCCCGAGAGCGGCAACTGCTACCGCTCTGCTGCTGCTTCTCCCGATTCTGCACCACCTCCCTCTGCCACCTCCGCCTGCCATCTCTCTATCTTTCTGTTTCCTCCATCCACGTTCCCAGCACATTCTGCGTTTTCCGTCTCTTTTCTTGCTCCGCACGATTCCACTCTCCCCTCGTGTCACTCTCTCTCTCTCTCTCTCTCTCTCTCTCTCTCTCTCTCTCTCTATCCTCGCCCACTCTGCGATTCTCCCAATCTATCTCCCGCACAGCCGCTACCTTTGCTATCACCACTACCGACCATCGCTATCGTCATCAACCGCTTTAAATACGACAGATATATATATATATATATATATATATATATATATATATATATAATATACAGGGTGACCGGTAACTAACGGACCAACGATTACAAGTGGATTCTTTGGTCAATTTGGGAACGATTTTTCCTCGGCAAAAATGTCGAAAAAGGTCATAATTTTTTACAACTTTTCAATATTTGTCATTATGTATCTTTATAACTAAGTCTCAAATTAAAATTTTATTATAGTAAACTCTACCTGAAATTAACTAAAGAATGTAATTATGTTAGACTTTTAACTCCAAAACGTTTAGTTTTCAAAAAACCCATTTTTTTCAATCGCTTATAACTCGAAAATTATTGACTTCTCAACATTTTTGCTAAGGAAAAATCGTCTCCAAATTGGCCAGAGAATCTGCCCTTAATCATTGGTCCGTTAATTACCAAACACCCTGTATATATATATATATATATATATATATATATATATATATATATATATATATATATATTATGGGACACCCTGTGTATATATATATATATATATATATATACAGGATGTCCCATAATAGATATTTTAGTTAATAACTCAATCATTATTGCGAATATCGCAAAATGATACAGGACTTTTCTATTCAGTTTAACACGCTCTATCTGCCCATTCGCGGTGGTTCGCGAATTATGGGACACCCTGTATATATATATATATATATATATATATACATATATATATACCATATATATATGTATATGTATGTATAGGGCAGGTAGAATGCATGGACGAGTGTTGTGCACTTGTCGGAGATATGAATATATATATGCAAATGTGCATGTAAGTGTACGTTGATACATACGTATACGCGTGACATAGCGCGCATCCTCTCCTCCTATTCTCTCCGACTGATAGCATCAAGTGCTTGTTACCATGGTGATTGCTAATCGGGTCACGCCTCGTATTCTATCCTACGCCGTTTCCATCTTGTAACGTCGTTTGCTCTATTTTTGCGAAAAATATGGAATTTCCCCCATCGATACATTTTGCAACTTTTTAATGACAGGATATTATGTCGCTTCCGTCTCTGGCAAGAATGTTGTTCCCGGGATCCCTCTATTTGACAGGTCATTTTCATAAAAGTTTTTTTCAGAAGAGTGCCGCAAACCATAATGCATTATGATCCATAGTTTTCGAGATATCGATTTTTAAATGGATATTTGAAAACGAATATTTTTTGTGGGATAATTTAGTATTAGATGTGCGTATTATAAAGTGAAAGTGTTGGAAGAAGAGGCACTTCTATCCCGAGAAATAATTCTAAATCTAATTCAAATCTATTTCTGATTAAAATAAAATTAGATTTATTATATCAAAAAATTTGATAAAAAATCTATAAAAATGACATTTTGTTAAAAATTTTGAAATTTCAATATATTTAAAAACAAAATTAAAATTTTGAAACATTGATATCTCCAACATTATCGTAACACATTGTAATTTGCGACATTATTTTTTTTGGTAAAAAATCTATCAAACTATCAAACTGAGCGGTTCCGGAAATTCTCCCCCATCTATGTTCACACTTGAGTCGAAAAACTGCGACTCGAAGTCTTGTCGTAAGCATTTCTTGTAAAGGCCTCTGTTCTCGAAGACGAATCTTTATTTGGGATATACATTGTCCCTGATAGTTAAAATGCAATTTTTTTTTATTTATTCTATAATATATGCGTAATATTTCTTTTTCTTACATTATCAATTATAAATATTAAAGAAGAGAAGAGAAAATATAATTGCTTTAATATATCCTAATAATACACGTAAATTAATTTCCGGAAAGCATAGATAAGTATCAAAGACATATAATACTTGTGAATAAGCGAGTGACTCGGCAAGATTATCAATTAGCAGATTATCAGCTTTGAAAGTTATTATTCAACAAAAGCTCACCGCTGGTCTGTGGTTTTAAGAAATATATACGAGTGTATTGATCGGGCAAATGTAA